TAAGCAAGTGACATATCATGACCATGACATCATGTAGGCAAGTGGCAAGATCACATTCATGAAGTATGAGATTTGTCTGCCCTTTTCATTTAATTTCTATTATTTTTGGAAGAATTTTGGAGGGCTAGGATTATACCCACCACCCTTGTAATTTTGTTGAATTCAAGGGTAAAGAGTTATTTAAAATTGCTATAAATACCCCTCCCACCCCCTTGCATTTTCGGCCAAGAGAGGAAGCTTGGCGAGGTTTTGTTGCTCTTGAATTTAGGCAGAGAAAAAACAAACTCTAAAGAGAGGAAGTTCACGCAAGCTTAAGGAATCATCAAAGTAAGTTTTCAACCTCTTTTGTTTTGATGTAGGGCTGTTTTTATGACATTTTATGTTGTTTGGATGGTCCTTTTCTTAAAGGGGGAAATGCTGCCAAATTTTTCAAAAAAATGAAAGAAAATAGCTAAGGAGTTGAAACATGGATTAAACACTTAAAAAGGATAAGAATTGATGATTTATATTTGATGTTTTGGGGAAAAAAAAATCCAACCCCTTGAACTTGAGTATTGATTCAGCCAAGATGAGTAATTGGGGTTATAGTTAGATTCAATTCAATTTGATACTTCTAATGTATTGAAATGATGAATGGTGTAGGGAAACACCAAGAAAGAAAAATTGAAGCACTAAAATTGAAAATGAAAATTTTGAAATTAAATCCCTATATAATTTGGCCAAGATGATTGCAATGGGGAGGAATCGGATTTTCATGAATCTAAGTTGATATTTGGATTCTACATGAAAAATTATATAGGAATGGCTTAAGGAATCAAGGAATCAAAGTTAGAAATAATAACACAAAAAATCAAGTAAAAAGGGATTAAGGGTTATTATAATGAATGGCATAATAATGTGTGATGCCCTATTGTGTTATTAATAGGTTTTGCATCCAAAGAGCAGGAGTGTGCTGAAGGGAAAGCTTGAAGGTTAAGGATAGCTTGAAAAGGTAGCTAGCACTTACTATTTAGATGTTACCTCGTATTATATTTATTGCTATATGTTATGTTATATGCTATGCCATGATGTAGATGAATTATGATGTTAAGTGATATTTAACTCCATGCATATAATGCCTTGGCTTATGCAATGTTAAGTGCTATGAATGGGAAACATGTTATTTCCTTCACATGGCACATGAATGAAGTGAAAGCATGCAATAGCTAGTACAAGTGGAATGTAATACTTTGCTTAAAGTGTGACATTGTAAAATGTGATGCTAATACTACTAAAATTCCTATGAATCTTACCCCTCCCATGTTCAAAAAATCCTAGGGCCTACAACGCCCAAAGGAAAGAGCAGGAGATAACCAATGTATGAAGGAATACTTGATGATGTGAAATTCTATATGTCTTGGTCTTTTCTTGAAAATATTGTAAATATTTGTAAATATTCTTTTAGATGACACTTTGCTATATTTTGATGCAAATATATGCCAAATTTTTCCATTATGTCCAATTATGTGGCTAAATGATTGGTATATTAAGTTAGAGCTTGAGTTTGAAGAGGCAAGGCAATTAGGGGATAAAAGTTAACAATTTGAGGCTAAACTTTGCCAATGTGATTCTGACCAATCCAGTGAGTTAGGTCACAAAATTTTACAGGCTAATAGATCTCATTTTTCTCTTTAAAATGAGTAGTAACATGTCTAAAATGGATATTTGTAAAAGAAGCTATGTTATCCAAAGTTAGGTAAAAATTAAAAAATTAGAAAATGACCAAATAAACTGTACTTTTTGAAAATTAAATTGGGCTCAAATTTGAACATAATCATCGAGAAATTATTTTTTTCAAAAGATAATCCAAAGAGTTTCCATTAAAAATTGGAATCACTCAATTTTGATTTTTAGAATTAATTATAATTTTTCAAAATTTAGTCAAATTACATATGCTGTGAATAGTAACCTAAGAACAAAATTTTTCGAAGTTAAATTTCTCAAAAACTTTGCCCATTAAATGTGATTTTATTTGCTTCTAATTAGTTAGTTATTTAATAAAAAGTGAAGGTGTTATAAACTTTGACTAGAAAATGGGCTCTCACCAAAAAGGATGGGAACTGATTTTCTTTCATGCAGATGAAAATTGCCTGCAATTGGAAAATTGCTTTTTGAAAAAATTGTAAACAAAAGTAGCAAGCCTCTAGAAAAAATCTGATTTTCCTTTTCCAGAGCCAGATTTTTAGCGTAGAAAACACACTCTAAGAGCTCATTTGGTATGCTAAAAATCTTGCGATGGAAAAGGAAAATGTTGATTTTCCATTGGCCACATGCATTTGGCCGCAAACATTTTTCAATAACCCATTTTCCCACGGCGGAAAATTTTCTAGTGTGTAAGGGGAAGATGAGTTGCCACCAATTTTGACAGGAACCGGTTTCCATCGCACTCGGGAAAGTGCCAAAGGCCATATTACCCTTGAAATCTGAATAAAACGCTGGTGCCTGATCAATGACCTCAATGAAAAGCATGAAAGCTGGGTATATCCCTTCTAAAACTGCTCTCTCCTATGAATCTTTCCTTCCCTGATTCCACCTCCACATGCCTTTTTTTTTATTTATAGTATTACTTTCCATGTGAATATCCATATCAACATTACTGGGTTTGCTTATGTATTTTGGAGAAGATGAAACCACCTGATAAATTTATGGATATAATTGTTTATTTTGGAGAATATGAAACCTCTTGATATGCAGCTAATTTTAACATGCATTAGAAGCCATTTTGGGCTTGTGTGGTCGAATGCCTAGCTTACGCCTACATTTTACAGCGCCACGACGACAATCCTGATCTGCACCAAATTACCTGGGTCAATCCCCAAGTGTAAAAATGCAACTAAAAAGTAGAGCAATTGCTCATACTGGTAATCAAGCATTTGTCTGTTTCAGTTCAAAAAACAGAGATAAATAGCCAACTTTAACAAGAAGTTAGTGAAGCAAATTTGAATTTGATGGAATTATATTCAGATTTTCTACATAAAATTTGAATTTGCTCATGCGGTGATCAAATCCTTGTGCATAAAATGCAAATTTGTTTAAGCATAATTGAAAGTGATGTAAGAAAATTCAAATTTCTTTAAGCAAATTCAAAATTGATGTAAGAAAAATTGAATGTTTACTTCTGCTTTTGTCATATTAAAAATTTAAATTTATCAACATAACTTTAAAAATAAAAATTATTTTTAAATGGATCTCACTGTATTAGAAATTAGGCTTAGTAAGCTTTATAATGATATGTCATTTGCCTTTTTTGTAATTAAATTGAAAATAGGAACTAGTTTAAAATATATACTATATAAATTTGTCCACAACAAAAAAAATGCTCAATTAGTAAATATAGACAACAAATTGACAAAAACTACAATTTTCGCAAAACAAAATCAAGATGTATAATATATTTGTATAATATTTATATATATTTTATTTCTTTAATGTATTTTATAGTTTTTTCGTTATTTAATGGTTTTTTTAATCATTTGATGATCTACAGCGCTTTTTTATTTCTGTTGAATATTCATATTTTATTATTTATTTAATTATAATTTATTTTTATTTATTTTTTTAATTATTGATTTTTAATGATAATATTAATATATTAAGGGTAAAAGCATTTTTATTTAGTAATATTATATTCTTTCATTAAAGGTAATATTGTAAATTTACACAATTTTTTAAACCTATTTTCACCTAACCAAATATTAAATTTCTCATCAACCTATTTTATATTCCAGTGTTTACCAATCACTTCGAAATTTTGCCTCCGTGTTTGCATTCTAACCAGTTGTTCTACCAACTGTCCCTAAGGTATTTTTTGGTACGAGAGAAATGGAAGGGAGGGGGAGGAGGAAAAAATTTTTAGTAAACTCTATTTAAAAAAGTTTAAAAAATATGGGTTTAAAATTTTAGTAAAAATAATAAAAATTAATAAAACACTTTTAATTTTTTAAATCGAGATTATTAAAAAAATTTCTTCGCTCCTTTTATTTTACCTCGACCAATCAGCAAGAGGTTAGGGTGTGTTTGGTTGGAGGGGAGGGGAGGGGAGGGGAGGGAAAATGAGCCCCTCCCCTCATTTGGTAAAAATTTTGGAGGGGAGGGGAGCTAAAATGTCCCCTCTTCCTCCCCTCCCTCTCCCATTTTGGCTACCCTCCAATTGGGGGTTTTGGAGGGGAGCCAAAATTAGACCATTAGTATGCCCTTATGATTTTTTAATATTCCACTTCTACCCATAAAATATATTATTATAATATTTATTTCAAATAAAAAATAGATTTCCTAAGTAAAAAAAATAAAAAAATATATACATTATATAATTAAAAAAATATTATAAAAATTATTTAATGAAAAAAATGTATAATAATTATAAAAATTAATTGTTTTTTATAATATATTTTTTTAAATATATTTTAAAGCTGGAAAAAAGATAGCTAAAAAAAATAAATTTCATTTTCTTAGAGCATATAAAATTGTTAATTTGATTATTTTAAAATATATTATTATATTAATTAGAATGAAAAATTACTGTACCAATTTTTAATACACCATATTAACATGATAAGACTGAATTTGATTAAATTATATAATTTAAATTAAGATGTAAATTAATTTATAATTTTAATACATCAAAAAAACACATTAAAACTAATATATAAGGGTCAAATGGTAAATTGATTATTACTATCCCTCCCCTCCCCTCCTTGAACCAAAAAGGGATCATTAAATACCCTCCCCTCCCCTCTTTTAATCAAACCAAAACAAGTAGGATGAAAACCTTCCCTCCCCTCCCCTACTACCTTCCTCCCTCCCTCCCCTTCCCTCCCATCAAACCAAACAGGCCCTTAGAGGAAAGGCAAGCCAGCGTCAACGAAACAAAGGGGGAGACCCGAGAGGGAGTAAACGCTGAGAGTGAGAGGGAGATCGAAGCAGAGGAAGTTTTGACGGAGAGCCAGTCACGTGCGAATCGGGTTTTTGAACCAAGGTAGATCCTTAAGCCTTTCTCCATCTCTGATTTCTTTGATTGGAGTATTTCTGGGGTGAGAGGATGACTGGTTTCTAAGTTGAGATGTGAAAAAGCTGTGATTAGGGGCCTGAAATTGTAATGGAGTTAGATTAAGTTAATATTTGGTTGACATGTGATCGATTAACTCCGTTTTGTGATTTTCCAATCTGAGGGTTTGTTGCTCTGAATTGTGTAGGTCAGATTCCCGGAGATTAAGACTAAGGAAACGAAAGTGCTCAAGTTTAATATAGAATCAGTGATTTATGGTTGTTTTGATGCTTAATATATGACTCTCATGAGGATTGAATCTGGCTTGCTGCTGCTGTTCGAATCCGTTTGGCCCAAGGCTGATATAGATATATACACACTTTGTTGCTTGATGAAGTTGGTTATAGAAGTGTCTTCGAATCCCAACCCTGTTCTGCTACGTGAAGCTGCAATTATACGGTGTAAGTTGAAATGGGAATTTGAATAATAGAAGAACATGATGCTTTGAGATATATAGATGTTCGTGTGCTGTGATATGTGTATAAACATATATTTTCTGATTTATTTGGTGATGAAGGTTAGGGGTATCAATTTTTGAAGCTGAAAACAATGAGAGACCTATTGATCCATGTGGTGAAAACCCGCGCGCGGAACACACACACATATTTGTAGGGTTGCGTATGATTAAGGGAGACTTTGGGTCTAAATTGTTGCGGTGGCAACCCAATTCAAAGTTGTTGCTGAATACTTCTCAATGACAAATAATTGCTTAAATGATTCAATCAAGTAGAGAGACTTTAGAATGATGACGTGAAGCTCACTGACTGATGTTGAACGATTAAGCATATAAGTTGATAAGATTATGATTTTGATCCTGAAAAGAAAGGTTTGGAATAATGATTGTGAGAACTACAAATATATAGTTAAAGGATACTGTCAAGAGCTTGAGTATCAAGCACTAATTAAGGGATAGTTACAGAAGCTAGAGATAATGTTTACGAAGTTGAAAGTTGAAGAAGACTTATTATTGATTACCTATAAATGTTAGCAATTGTTTTTATAATGGTTTAAATCATTTGGAAAGAAGTCCCTAGAAGCATGAGGTGCTATTCTTTTTTTTGAGCTGAAAGCATGAGGTGCTATTCAAAAATTATAAAAAAGATGGTGTTCTTATATTGATTGAATGACGTGAATTAAGTAATAATAAGTGCTATGTTATTGTTAGCTTTTTTTTTTGTTTTTTTGTTTTTTGCCAGCGTTGTATTATCGTTGTTTGATGGAATGGGACCCTGGAAACTGAATTAAATTTGTTGTGCTGTTATTGATATTAACTAATAAGTATTTTTTTAAAAAAATATTTAAGTGAGATTGATATAGCTAATAGTAGATTGAAGCCTCTTCAAATAAGATATGTGTTCGCATGTTGATTTTTGTCTTTGGGTGAAGATTTTCGAATATGCATGGACCCATTTGTTTCCTAGGCGATTTACTTGATTTCTTATGGAAGCCTCGTAGAAACACTCAAATGCTAAGATAAATAACTTTCACAAGGGGTGATGTGCTTTTATGATGCTTGCTGATTATTGAAGTTGAATCTTTGGATTGAGACTAAAGAGAACTCATTGTTTTGATGCCCCAGCATGTAACACAAGTGTTTAAAATTATTTAAGCAGGATTCAGGATGTCAAAGTAATGATTTATACTGTTATTAAAGCTAGAACATATTTCCAAATTTAGTAAGGAATGCTGTCCAAATGTTTAGAAGCTGTCGGTGTACTACTACAAATTATGTTATTTTTGTCTGTTCTGAAGGCTCACTTTAGTCTATTTAGATAGAAATGTTGACTGAAAAGTCATAGATGAGAGTTATATATTCGTCTCTTGTATAACAGACGAGTATGAGGAAGACTATATTTGTCTGGTCCAAAACAGACAAATATGCAGCAACCATATTCATTTCTTTTATAAGAAAAGATGAATATGATGCTGCATATTCGTATGTTCGCTATAAAGCAGATGAATATGCATCACTCATATTTGTCTATTTTATGAGAATAGATGAATATGGTGCTGCATATTTGTCTATTCCCTATAAAACAGACGAATATGCATCATACTTGTCTGTTTTAATATGAACAGACGAAAATGTTCTTTTTTGGGGGAAAAAAAACAGTTGAACATGTTATATGCACAATTTTTATTCAACCTAAAATTCAGCAATTCAGCAATTCAGCAAAACCAAAATATGGACTACAAATAAATAATAATTCACCATAACCAAATCTTTCATACTAACTTCCTAACTAATTCCATACACGCCTAAGATAATCATATATAACACAAGGAAGTTCTAAAACTAGAAAGTCTACTAAAACTAGAAAATCTTAGTTAAAGCAAAATGAACTAAATATCCTAACAGAAAATCATCTTTAATCTAATTAATGTATCATTGAGAAAAAAGCTCTCGAAGAAATTGTCCTACTAACTGTTCTCGAATACCATCAATGTTTTCATCAGTGTAGGAGCTCTCATTGTCAAATATCTGTAAGATCATAAATAATGAAATTTTAGTCTAGTAATAGAATTCAAAAAAAGGCAATAGTTCAATTAAAAAAAATGCAAATAATCATAACTAAATTGATTATTACTATAATACCCTGAATTTTTTAATTCAGGAAAAGTAGAAAAAAAATTCATTTTATGGAAAAGATTATTTCCATAATAGGAAATAAAATAGAAAAAATTATGGAACATTAATTTTGAGAACTTAGAAATTTTATGGAAAAGATTATTTCCCTAAAACTTGTTTAAGTAATTTTAAAGTTAATTTTTGGAACAGAAATGACCTATTTTCCTAGAAATTCAAGGAAAAATAGTTAGAGGTTTATATTTTAGTTAAAAATTTTAGGATAATTATTTTATGAGATAAAGAAGTTAATTGAAGCACAAAATATTTAAAATGAATGAAGGATTAATTTTTGGAATTAAGGGCCTTCTTTTGAACAATTCAAGAAAAATAGTTAGGAATTGATTTTTCACCCAGAATTTTTAAAGAAATTAATTTATGGGTCATAGAAGCTAATGGATAAGGAAAATTCATATAAATGATGATGGATTATGTTATGGATATATTTTATATTGGGAAAATAACATAAACATGATTGTTGAATTTCAAAATTCCCAAACAGTTACTTAAATAAGAAAAATTTAGGTTTAGGTATGGGTGACTAAATTGAGATTTGCAAATTTGCTAAAATGATCATATTGCCCTTTATCATTTTTTTTTGGGAAAAAACCATTTCGAAGTTCAGGTGGGCCACTAACACTGAAGCTTTGACAACAAGCCAACAACCAGTCACTGGAGCTCCAGCAGCTAGCAAATTTTTTTTTGGAATTTCTTACAATTTTAATAACATGATTAACGAGTTCTTTTATGCTATTAAAAAGTGTGGTATAACAGTTAATAACAAAATTTTTGAAAAAATTCAAAAGGTGGCGTTTTTGTAACTTCAATAACACGGTTAACAAGTTTTTTAATGTTATTAATAAGTTCGATATAGCAGTTGACAACAGTTTTTTCAAAAAATTCAAAAAGTAGCATCTTAACAACTTCAGTAACGCAATTAATAAGTTCTGTAACTCTATTAACAAGTTTGGTATAACAGTTAATAATAGGTTTTTTTAGAAAATTCAAAAAATGATATTTTTACAACTTTAGTAACGTAATTAACAAGTTCTATAATGCTATTAATAAGTTCTATATAACAGTTAATAACAGGTTTTTTAGAAAATTCAAAATGTGGCATTTTTACAGCTTTAGTAACATGGTTAACAACTCATGTAACGATATTAACAACTCTTATAATATAATATCCTAGCTTTTAGACCTAGAAGTACCAACATTAGCCTGAAATTTGTAAGCTACCATATTCTTTTTGGCAAGAGCTTTAGAAGTTCTCTGGAAGGACGAGATGATTTCAAAGAACCAAACTTGCAAAGTAAGTTTTCTGGAACCACAAAATAGGCAAGTTAAAGAAGCTCTAATGAAGTCTTCAGTGAGTATGAGAATTGGAGATGATTAAAGGCCCAAAGTTGTGGTGAGAACCTTAGTGATATGATTCTTGAGACGAAACCCCGTGTAAGGACATAATTATAAATTTGAAAAGTTTCGGGCTGAAAATAACAGTGATGGAAACTACGCCCAAAAATTCTAGAAATTTTTTAGAAAATTTCAGAAAGATGGGAAATGAGATTTCTGAAACCCCTGTGAGGCTAAAAATGACGAAAATACTCTCAGAGCAAATTGATAAAATTCTCTGGATTTTGACTAATTATAAATATTAACTGAAATTGAATTATTTAAAATACAAGTAGCCTTAGCTAATAATTTGTGGCTAAGATTATGTGTGTTGCGGACCTTTGGTATTTTATGCCGTGTTCAAAAAAAGATTGTGTCAATACTTTAACGAGGATAATAATAATTATATATATATATATATATATGCATATTAAATATTGAAGACAAACATATGTAATCATTACCTCTATCTCTCCATTTTTTTTTTTAATTTTATGAGCTTGTAACCTCGTTCATGCATGGTAGGTGGTGGCACTACTAGGGTAACTTGAATTTGTGTTGACCTCTATCTCTTCATCTATCTCAACATGTACAGAAGGAAAAACAATTACAAATATTGTCATTCTTTATTATACATATCAGAAGAAAGAGAACACAGTAAGCAGGGCTAAAATATTGGGCACTACTTGCACATGATACACAAGTCATAATGCATGTAAGTTATATATATATATATATATATATATATATATGAGCATTTGGCAAAAGGAAAAAAGAAGTTATATATAAGCATCACCTCTCATTGAATATTGTCGCAATCAACTCATTATTTTAATGGATAATCATTATTTATTACTTTTTTTTTAAATAAGATTGTTTGCAGTGCAGTTCTTTTTCATACAGAGGTTTAATATAAATAATCTAGTGCGATTAAACCTTGGTTGGAATGGCTCTGAGAGGGTGAACCCTTTTTAATGTAAGCCCAAATTTTTCCTCCATGTCTATTTCATGAGGCTGAAGATCATCTGCTAGCTTCCAATTATACTTGTGGATAAGAGAAGCTAACATCAAGTTAATTGATCTCAAGGCCAATGGCAATCCAGGGCACATTCTTCTACCTGCTCCAAAAGGAATGAGTCGAAAATCATGACCTTTGAAATCAACTTCCTTATCCAAAAATCTCTCTGGTAAGAATTGATTAGGGCTACGCCATATGCTTGGGTCTCTTCCCATAGCCCATACGTTGATAAGAATTTGAGTATTTTTTGGCACTGTGAAGCCACAAATCTCTGCATCCTCCAGTGCCCTGTGAGGTACTAACAATGGAGCTGGTGGGTGCAAGCGAAGAGTTTCTTTACCACTGCCTTTAAGAATGGCAAATTTGTAACATGTGATTCTTGTATTTTACCTTCATCACCAATGACTTGTTGAAGCTCTTCTTTGAGTTTTTCTAGTTTCTCTGGAGTACGTAATAGCTCCGCCATAGCCCATTCCACTGTACTTGATGTCGTATCAGTCCCCGCAATCAACAAATCCTATAGAATATTTATATTGCGAGATATAGAGCAACATGATCAATGATTTAATATAGAACACTAAGAAAAAAACAA